TTTGCAGCGATCGACCTGAAGGACACGTACTTTCATGTCTCGATCCTCCCTCGTCACAGACCGTTCCTGCGGTTTGCGTTCGAGGGTCGGGCATGGCAGTACAAGGTCCTCCCCTTCGGGCTCTCCCTGTCCCCCGTGTCTTCACGAAAGTTGCGGAGGGCGCCCTTGCCCCACTATGGGAAGTGGGCATCAGGATCCTCAACTATCTTGACGACTGGCTCATCATGGCCCGGTCGCGAGAGGAGTTGTGCGATCACAGGGACTTCGTGTTTCGGCACCTCAGTCAGTTGGGGCTTCAGGTCAACCGAGAGAAGAGCAAGCTCTCCCCTGTGCAGAGAATCTTCTATCTCGGTATGGAGTTAGACTCGGTGAGTATGACGGCACGTCTCACCAACGAACGTGCCCAGTCGGTGCTGAACTGCCTGAGTTCCTTCAGAGGCAGGACAGTGGTGCCACTGAAATATTTTCAGAGGCTCCTGGGGCATATGGCATCTGCAGCCGCGGTCACGCCACTCGGATTGCTTCATATGAAACCACTTCAGCACTGGTTACACTCCCGAGTCCCGAGGTGGGCATGGCACGGCGGTACACATCGTGTCACCATCACACCGATGTGTCGCCGCCTATTCAGCCCTTGGTCGGACCTTGCTTTTCTACGGGCCGGGGTGCCCTTAGAATAAGTGTCCCGGCATGTCATAGTCACGACAGGTGCCTCCAACACGGCTGGACAAGCACGTGTTGGTCCGCTCGGACAACACTGCGGCTGTTTCGTACATCAACTGACAGGGTGGTCTACGATCACGTCGCATGTCTCAACTCGCCCGCCATCTCCTTCTCTGGAGTCAGACGCGGCTCAAATCGCTGCGCGCCGTCCACATTCCGGGAGAGCTCAATCGTGCAGCCGACGCGCTCTCACGACAGCTCACTTTCCCCGGAGAATGGCGACTCCATCCCCAGACATTCCAGCTGATCTGGAGTCGATTCGGGGAAGCTCAGGTGGACCTGTTTGCTTCCCACGAGTCCTCCCACTGCCAGTTGTACTATTCCCTGACCCAGGACCCCCTGGGCACGGACGCACTGGCACACAGATGGCCTCGGGCTCTACGCAAGTATGCGTTTCCCCCAGTGAGCCTGCTCGCACAGACACTGCAAGGTCAGGGAGGACGAGGAACAGGTCCTGTTGGTTGCGCCTTACTGGCCCACCCGGACCTGTTTTTCGGAACTCATGCTCCTTGTGACAACTCCTCCCTGGCGAATCCCCATGAGGAAGGACCTCCTTTCTCAGGGGCTGGGCACCATATGGCACCCGCGTCCAGACCTCTGGAACCTCCATGTGTGGCTTCTGGACGGGACTCGGCAGACTTAAGTGATCTGCCGCCAGCGGTGGTAGACACTATCACTCAGGCTAGAGCCCCCTCTACAAGGCAGGTCTATGCTCTGAAGTGGAGTCTGTTCACGAATTAGTGTTCTTCTCACTGAGAAGATCCCTGGAGATGCTCAGTCAGAGTCGTGCTTTCTTTCCTGCAAGAAAGGTTGGAGCGTAGGCTGTCACCCTCCACCTTGAAAGTGTATGTTGTATGCTATCGCAGCACATCACGATGCAGTGGACGGCCGATCCCTGGGAAGGCATGACCTGATCGTTAGGTTCCTGAGGGGTGCCAGAAGGTTGAATCCTCCTAGGACACCACTGATACCCTCCTGGGATCTCTCTGTTGCCCTGGCTAGACTCCAGAGGGGTGCCTTTGAGCCGCTTGATTCAGTCGAGCTGAAGTTCCTGTCTCTTAAGACAGCGCTCCTGATCACGCTCACTTCCATCAAGAGGGTCGGGGACCTCCAAGCATTTTCGGTAAGTGAAGAGTGCCTTTTGTTTGGGCCGGCCTACTCTCACATTGTCCTGAGACCCCGGCCTGGATACGTGCCCAAGGTTCAGCGAGCCGTGCCCCCTGGGGGTGAGAGCCCACTCCCCTCGGAGTGTCGCCTCCTCCTGAGCGTTGGCGCACGGTGCCTCTCTGGCAAACATCTGTCGAGCTGCGGGCTGGGCAACACCTAACACCTTTAGCGAGGTTTTACATCCTTCGTGTAGAGCCGGTTTCTTCCCGTGTGTTGGGTAACAGGTAGCTATGGACTCTGGGTCAGTCCTTATCAATATCTCCAAATGTCATCTCCCTACGGGTAGGATGTGGTCTCCGTAGCGACCTTTTCCCTTAAGGCTCGCTTCCCCATTGTTCTGCCAGGCTGAAAGAACAAATAAGAAAGATTTGAAGCAATTTTTCACTGAAGGTTGAAATCCCTTCCAAAAACTTTTTTGTGGACGGAACAGCAGCATGGCCTTCTCCAGCAGGATGTACTCACTGTTGGTCCCCTTCGGTACCAAGGTCAGTGAATTTGCGCTGGGGCTTTTGGAAGGTTACGACCTTAGCGTAGCTTTTGTGGCACGCCACAGCTTGTCAACAATTGCAGCGCCACAGGGTTGTGACGGTGTTCAGGTTGTGGCATTTTCCATGGACCCCATATGTCGTTCGACATAACTCGTAGTGACCGACAGATAGGGAACGTCTCGGTTACGTACGTAACCCTCCCACTAGCCAATTTTCATTGGCATTTTCTCTTAAACTCAGAGATGATTGGCCTCCCAAGTGAGACCCCATATGTCGTTTGACATAACGTCTCCATTCCCTCCATCAGGGAACGAGGGTTACGTACGTAAACGAGACGTTTCTTGACATATATTATTATAATACTAAAGAAAACATCATATATTAAATATATGATAATAAAATGGATATTATATTTGATATGACAATAATGCAGTAGGAACCAGGAATTAAAATACAAAAATTTTGTGCTAGCCTTTATTATCATGTGTTTAACATATGATATATAATTTCATAAAAATAAAAATAAATGATACTATGTGGATTTTGAAGAAATGTAATTTCTGGTTTGTTGACATATTATAGCAATATTAAATATAAAACTATATATTAAAGGTATGATAATAAAACTGAGCATTACAGTGCAAATATTTGCCATTTAATTTTGGGTTTCTTGAAATACATAATTTTTGTAATATTAAATATAATATCATAAATTAAACATGATAATACAACTGGTATTATATTTAATATGATAATATGTGTGAAACAATTCACGCAGTAGTGCTCAGTTTTATTTTCATATATGATGTTTAGTTTTATTTTTATAAAATTAAATATATCATGTGAATTTTTAAGATGGAATTTGAGTGTTTTTTTGACAGATACTATTATCATATTAAATATAATACCATATATTAAATATATGCTAATAAAACTGAAGGCTACTGTGCAAAAATTGTAAAGTAATTTCTGGTATCTTAAGACATATTACAATACTAAATATAAAATCGAGTGATACTGTGAGACTAATGTAATTTCTGCTTTCTTGACACATACAGAGTTCTGGCATGAAACTTTAGATGGCACAGTCTGATAGGTCAAACTCAATCTGACCTAATGACATCATTGTCACATGGCTCAGCTGATTGGTTCTCTCCTGTATCGATAGCCAATGAGCTCGCTGCTCAATATTCAAATACCTGGCTTTTGTTTGCTGTGCCCACTTCAGAAACCCTCCACCTTCCCCAGCTCCACCTGTATAGATCTGCTATGGGGTGATTCATGTATGCTATATGG